TTTGGTGCTAATAATTTATCGATAACGGTTTTCACGCTTGAATATAAGTGAAATACAACGTATCTGTAGTTTTTTTTATGCGTTTTTTCTTCTAGACAGAGGGGAAAAAAGGAAATGGGACGATGAGGTGTTAAGGAAACCGAATAGTCCCAAAAAAATGTGTACGATCGATGTCCGCGGCGGTCAAACACAATAAGTAAATGTATTAGGTTTCAGAAAAATTATATCACACCGACCATGTACAAACAATTATTTTCACACCCCAAATCGTATTTTGACCAACTAATGAGTGTTGTTTTACAGTAGAGTGAATTTTTTGAAATCTGCCTTTCAAACGGGTCCGTGTTCGTCCCGTGCTTGACACGTTGTCTGAATCCATTCGGATATCCCATGGATACCTCAGAACCGGCTCCCGACAACGATTTTAGAATGGAGATCGTTACCCCGATATCCGATTTATAAATATCGAGTCGGTTTCGAGTAATGAGGTATCCATGGTAGAACATCGATCTATAGACAACTGTTGGCCGAGTACGGACACCAGAACATCATCCTTATGGCTAAGCAAATATTGGCCTGTATATAATATAATAGATGACAAAAACCACGAAAAAAGACGAAAAATACGAAGAAGGAGAAATTGATCAAGAGGTGGGAGAGAAATATGGAGAACTAGTAACTAAATATAGCAGCTAGTACCCCCCAATGATAATTGAATGCTATCTTCAGTGGTAATATCAATGTCAACTTAATGAAATTAATAATTATATGCATATTGGATAAACAAATACTAATAAAAATTATAAATTAATGTTAGTTTATTTTTTCTAAAATTTCTGTCCAGTTCGAATATTTTTGTGTTATAATTTCCGATTATTTTCTTAACCGTAGGGTGGTGTATGTCCGTCATTTTAAAATATTCGCTTTAATATCCATTCCTTATTATATTATTATTAATTATTATAATATAATAATTAATAATAATATAATAAGGAATGGATATAAAGTTAATATATTATATTGAGTACACGTATAAATATATAAATTAAATTATAAATTATTATTTTTTTTAACGTTTTATTATTCAAAAATTGGTTATGTTAATATATGTTTTAGTAGAGTTCAGTAAACCTAATTATGATATAATTTGCTAATTTCCCATCTATTTTTTTTTTTTTTTTGGTAGACAATTTTATTGAAGTACCACCAAGTGAAAATTACTTAAACTATGTATTGCTATGAGGAGGAGAAGGAAATAAGTCAAATAAAACAAATATACCGCAGCATTGTACCCTACTCTATCATCATTCCAATTACTAATCCTTTAGTATATATTTTTAAAAAATGTTTTAAAAGCTAATTAAAACATGCATTTGCATATTGTTTCAGATGCAGCCACAATATGACCATCATACCACATTAACCACAACATGACCATCGTACCACATCAACCATAATATCACCATCATACCATATCAAACACATCTAGTGGGTCATATCCCACATCCGTAAGGGCCAAGGATTTCAGAAAATACAGTGTTCAGACGGATATACTGAGATCACTACCTAATATAGAAAAAAAACCTTCCAATATTTTGATAAACCAAAGCTGTATGAAAAAAGATGTACGAGTCGACGAGACCAGCGGGCTTTTAGCCGGATCTAGAAGAAGAATCCTCGAGGCAGAAAAGATCAAAGGGACAACGGGATGGGAACGGAGCACCATGATATCGTGGAACCAGCAGAGGTGCCAACGCCCAAGCTGTCCACTATGGCACCACGGGAGGGATGACGATCATGGAAGATCAGCATTAAATATCTAGATTGGCGGTTGGACTATCTAGATACGTAACCACGTGACTGACGAGCTAGCCAAGCCATTGAAATTGACGTCAACCACGGATTCGCTGAAACCAAATCCTACACATTAGCAATAAACAGTATTAATTGTACGAAGCGAAATTTTTTTTGTATATTTGATGAGGCTTCGTAATTCTTGAATTCTTGATAAATTTGGCCTCATATGTGATATATTGATATATATATTATTTAATAAACAATGGCGGCATCCTCTCTCCTTAACGTAGTTCCAGCGGAATGTATCGAGGAGAGTGGTTGAGTATTGTTGGTTAAAAAAAAAAAAGAAAAATATTTTAATAAGATAGTAGTGGAAGAATCATTCCCATCAATAAGCTGATCACTACATTTTTGATGTGGAAAAAATGCTATGTGTATCGTATAATTAAAATTAAAAATATTACCATTATATTTTCAAAGATTAAATCTTGTGTATCATTTCACTCGAAAAATATAAAGGATATTTAACTATACATCAAGCGTTTAACACGGTTCTTGAAGTATAGACTCTAGAATTCTTAATTTAAATTAAATTACACTGTTAATTCAGTGATTAATAAATGAAATAAATCAATATTATACAAAGAATTACCAAATTACATGAGTTTATTAGCAGGAGAATACATTTTGTATGTATTAGAAGCAATTGAACAATATAAGACGGTTTTATTTCTAGAATTAATATGATTAATTTGAGTAAGGACAAAAAAAATATTATTTCACCAATAATTTTATATTTTGGAACGAACATTTCAGCATATAAACATATTTTTATCAATAAAAAACTTCTTTTTGAGGTCACTATATTTCCAGCAGTCGAAAAACATCTCTCAGAACTCACTGATGTGGCAGGAATAGCCAGATATTTTTTTGTTTACGCTGCAACTTTCCTTAAAAATGAATTACTACTTTCATCAAATTCCATGAATACATAACTAATCGTCAACATATTCTTATAAAATTATATTAGTTACTTTTAATAATAAATTATTTATATTTTAAGATTCGTTACTCTTCAGTCTTATACTTTACGAATATATAGTTGTTCATACAGACCTACGTTCAGTTAGACGCGGATAAAAGGTTGGGGGAGCTATGGGAGCTGATGCCCCCTCCCCTTAGAAATTAGGTAAAACCATGTCGGACGTAGGTACTTACAATATTTAAAAAAATTAGACGTAAGAAAAACTTCGACATACAAATCGACATGCACAAGGAATTATGGCAGTAACTCACTTTACTAGCCCTTTTTCATTTCTAGATCCACCCATGTCAGTATGTGTATATTTATATGTACGGTAAATGATGTAGTACATGTGTACGAGGTAAGTTATTGTTTATTTTCTAAGCATATTAACCATTTCAAACATAATTCTCATCCCTTGCCTAAAAATATTTTTTTAACTCTTATTCCGAAAAAGCGAGAACAAGCACTGTTATTAAATTCTACTGTGTAACAAATTAGGACATACTGCTGTCCGACTGGCTATACATGATAAGCTCGATTTTAGCTCATCACAACATGTTCACAGAAAGTTTACCATCCGCGGCATTCTTTATGTCTCAACGGTTAATGGAGCAGTGTTGAAATAATTTTCGGCTTTAAAAAAGCTGTTTTGTAGATGGAAATAAATGAGATTTTATTTTAAAGGAAAAATATAACCAAGGTCTGAAAACTGGATAGTGCGACCAGTTCTGGATTAAATATGTTTGTTCGAACAAATATCTTGAATTAAAAAAAATTTAGCCATAAAATTGAATACAATTTTTGGTTCAATGTATGTATGTGAAGCTATTTTTTAACTACGTATACGAGTACAATTTTTTTTAAATAGTTATAAATATCAGTTAATATATTTTAACGACTTTAATAAAATCAATTACACCGACTTAACTTCAAATATCAAGAAGCTCGTTTTAATTAAAAAGTTTATAATTTTACATTGAAATGTATTTAATATTATCTTGTTTAATAACTTTTTTTACAATTGTAATTTGGTTTATTATTAAACAGTGGTGGCGCGATGCGGATTTTATTGAAGCAACTGCTTCATGACTGAAATGGGGCGGGTTGGCAATATTGCACGATAGAAAAGTTTAATACATAGTTTGCACATTTGACATTGAATACTATTATATTTTATTTTTTTTAAACTTCTTTATTTTAATAAAATTTAATAATTTTAATGGAGTGAGTACTCGATACACGTAACTGCTTCATTGGAAAATACGTAGTAGGATCAAAAAGTTCCTGGAATTTATTTATAGAAAAAAATCTATATTTCTTATCAAATATCTGATTATTAGAATTAAAAGTAGACATTATTAGCTATCTATAGGTTTAGTCGTTAAAAGTACATTAGTCTCATGTGAGCCGTAATTGAGTCCATACGAAACTGTGTTTACGCATTTTTTCAAAATGTCGCAATTTGAACAACGCGCCGCATTCCTAAATCATCTTTTAAAATGTTTTGAACTGAACTATACGATATTCCTAATACATTTACCATATCTTGAATGTGTAAACGACGATCTGATTGCACCAAGTTTTTAACTTTTTCGATTGTTTCATCGTTTTTTGAAGTTGACGGCCGGCCACTCCGCTCTTCGTCTTCAAGTGACTCTTGGCCATTTTTGAACCGTTTAAACCAATCATAAACGGCTGTTTTCTTTAATGCTTCATCACCATTAACTGTTTTCAAGCACTCGAGCGTTTCTGCGGCAGTTTTTCCAAGTTTAAAACAAAATTTAATGTTAGCGCGTTGTTCAAATTGTGACATTTTAAAAAAATGTGTAAACACAGTTTCGTATGGACTCAATTACAGGTCCGTTACATTAGCACCACCATATTCAAAATTTGAAAAAAAAAATATACCAACGATTGTTATTTCATTTGTACACATTTGTAATCCTGGTATAAACATTTGTACACCTCCCCAAATGCCCCAAAAAACCAAATTTCCGCGGTGGTGCTAATGTAACGTTACATTAGCACCCCACTTTTTGTACAGTTGACTTATGGCTTCCAAAATGGTACCAACGATTGTTATTTCATTTGTACACATTTGTAATCCTGGTATAAACATTTGTACATCTCCCCAAATGCCTCAAAAATTAATTTGTAAACAATAATAAAACAAATATAGTAAAATAAATAATTAAACGTTGTATTTAAACTTACTGTTTTAAATAAAAAACATAACCTATGGGTTTTAGAAATGAAAACATATCGAGAATAATGATAATTTCTAATGAATGAATGTATGAATATAAATCACTAAAAATCACTTAAAATGTACAAAAAAAATTTCTTGTATAAATATTTAAACAACATAACATATTCACTTATAACAAAACGTAAATTTTTTCTAAATCTATAGTAAATCATTTTTTAGTCAGTCTTAAAAACAACTATAAAGGTAAACGATAATCTAAATCTAATATTACATTAATAATATTACGATAGGTAAAGTAAAAATGCGATAGTTAATGTCGCGGATTTTGAACGTTCCGAAAGCCTCGAAAAAAACAATACTTAACCATGAAAATATAAAGGACAAATATCTACATCGATGAGTAATTTTTTTTTCATCAAGATTGCTTCGTCGGACGTTCAAAAATACTTGAAGGAACTAAATCAATGGCGATATATTTCCTCGGGCGACGATAAAACCGTCGGGAACACCTATACGACCCCGTTGGACGTGCGGTTCGGTAATGCGTGTGCGATATCGGGGAACATGTACGTTTGGTCGTTATTATTGTTCAAGGCGGCGGCGGCGGCGGCGGCGGAAGAGCGGACGCCGGTGGAGGCGATGTAAGCGTTCGTGGTGCCGATGGTCACGATCGGCTTCTTCGGTTTCTTCTTGCCGAACGATTCCTCGATCTCCTGCAGCGTCTTGCCCTTGGTCTCCGGGCAATAGTAATAGAAGAACCACGTACTCAGCAACGACACGACACCGTACACGCCGAACGTGCCTGGCTTGGTGAACACCTCCTGCATGTACGGATACGTTTGGAGCACGATGAATATGCAGAAATGGCCCACGCACGTGGTCACGCCGCCAATCATTCCTCTGATCTGCCGGGGAAACACTTCGCCGATCATCACCCAGGGCACGATCAGGTAGCCGATGGTCGAACAGGCGTAGAACACGTACAACACCATGGTCGGGAACCACGTGACCACGGCCGGCTCTCCGGCGGCTCTCCAAATGGCATTCTTGTACATGTAACCGGCAAAGCATATCATCGACACGCCGCACCCGACACCTGTGGGTCGATTAAACGAAATATGTTACCATAACCGTAGTCACCGTAGTCCAAGCAATAATCAACGCGGGAACACGTACGGTTGAAAATACCGTGTTAATACCTGTACGCAGTGGCGTGGCGAACTCAAAAACCCACCCGCCCCCCGAAAAACTGAGAGGCAGTCACCTCTCGATTACTCACATCGCCACGCCACTACCAGTACGTTGTGTATCGTGTTCTGAGCATTACGTTTCAGAGTTTTCAGTTTATCCTATCGTTTTCTTACTATTTTATTATAAATGTGTGCAAAAAAAAAAAAAAAATTAGCGTACGGAACACGACACGATAGATACGTCATCGTGACGCAGTTATGTAGAAAAATTAAAAATATTCGTTTGATGTTATATTTTACTTACTAGATATGTAAGATAGCGGCTTGCGGCCCAACCGTCGCATCAACATGCAACCGATTATGGTAAATATCAACCGGATGATTCCCAGTACTATAGTAGCCGCGTACTTATCGATTGACGATCCTGAATCCTATAAACACCGTAACAGTTTCATGGTCGACTACTTGGTAATCGTTCTTACGGTTAGCGTTATATGATGAACGTAACACTTACCCTTATCACGTCGACCGCATAGAACGTGACCACGTTTAAACCGGAAAACTGACTTAGTAGGAAATACAACGATACTATTACAAAAGGCTTGTAAGTGGATGGTTGACATATGACTCGAAGTTTTTCTTTGAACGAAGTCGATTCGTTAGCCATCGAAAACGTTATTAGGTCTTGCACTTCGGTTTCCACGTCACACTTGCTGTCGCGTACCCTTTTCAAGCTGGCCCTACAACGGGTTTCGTCTTTTTTGGACGATATCAACCATGAAGGTGATTCAGGTATGAAGAAAGCCAGCAGCAGAGATAGAGCGGGCACTGTGGCGTTGATGATCGCCAACGTATCCCAGTCCACTACGGAACCAATCGAATACTCCAACATCACACCTGTACAGGAATAACACAACATTTTAATTCTATCAGATCAATATCCATATACAAGCGTTCTCGTATGGTTAAAGTAGATGGCAGAATAATTTAATTTGCCGTCAAACTAAACGATGACGCATTTCCTCGTATTATTTTTGTTTAATATAATATTTCTATTACATCCATAAATCCATAGCGTAATCGCAGTGTGCTTAAAAACATGAACATTAGCTATAGACTCCAGTTATTGATATAGTAGTTGTAGCTTAAACTATCATTTATCGCATAAAAATAATATGAAAAAATTCCAGAACCTTACTCGAGGGAATGTCAATGAATCGGGTCGTTAAAACAAAATCATTAATACAACGTTTTCTCACCTAAAGATGTGCCCACGGACGCGAACGCGGCCAACACGCCGCGGACATGCGGCTGCGAAACCTCGGCCGTGTACACTCTGGAAGGCGCTCCGATCATTCCGGAGCTCAGGCCCACCAGGAACCTGCCAACGTAGATCCACGGGAGTGAAGGAGCGAAACCAACCAACAGCCATCCTACGATGGCGGGCAACTGTAGGGCGATCAGGGTCCTTTTGCGACCTAACAGGTCTGTGAGATAACCAGCGAGTATGCAACCGCACGGGGTTCCAATGGTCGACACGCTAGCTACAAACACACAAAACACACGTTAGTGACTATCACACTATTTTATATTATTTATATTATTATTTTGTATTCTAAAGAACTCTGATCAGTGACATCGAATTGGTTTTTACTAAGTCGCGAACGAGATAAAAACAAAATAATATCTTCTTACTTCGAATATTGACAATTTTAAGGTCAAATTTGTGAAAAGTAAAATACATGTAGAAGAGCAGAGGAAATGATCACCTCGAAAATGCATTGAGTAAATTTTCTGTACACTTAAATAAAGATTTCGATGCCTCTGACCCCGAACACAAAATATACTTTGGTTCAAGTCCGGTTACAGTGTTTGTTTATATGACTTACCTATCCAGGAGGCTTGACTTCTATTGATAAAAATACGAGAAGTTGGCATTTTCAATTGAGGTAAACTTACGGCGGTGTATCCGAACACAAGACCAGTATTTATGGTGCCACAGTTGGCCGCTAAGGCGACAAGGATCTGAAAAACGAATTTTTTTTCCATTAAGTATTCAGAACTTACAATTAAAATTCTAATTCGTAATAATCAACAAATTACGTCATTAGGCACAATAAATTTAACTATGCAATACTCGTGTTGTCCAATTTACCAACAATTTGTATTAATAACATTTTTTTTTTTTTTAGGGGTAACGGCCTTGAAGTCCAGCCCAGTACCAGTATTATTTAACAACATTTGCGATGCCGAAAGGAATTATTTTTAATTTATTGACAGTGTTAAAATTATTATTATAATCTATATAATTATATAATATATAATATAAATATAATTATATATTAAGATAATTATTATTTTGATAAATGTATCTAAATAATTATTTAGTTAACTTTCATCATATCGAGATAAATAGTTAGATGTTATCTAAATATCCATCTTATACAAAAATATAAAATATAAATTTGTATAGTAAATTAATTTTATTGATAACTAATACTTGAAATTCGAATTGTTTTATCATCCCAAAAAGTGATTATAATTACTAATTAGTAAGAATGACTGGTGAGTATCTCAGTCAAACCTAACCTATTTAATTGTGTGTCTATTAATATAAATATTAACACGTACTAAAACTTCTATGAAGGTTCATAACAATCACAATTTGCTGTGATATATCATATATGTAAAATATTTTTTCTTTATACTTATACTTAATTTGTTTAAAATGTTGTTAATTTATACATATTGAGTATTGAATAATAATAGTGTTTAATACCAACATTAATTTAAACATATAGCTTCATTTTAAATAATATAAAAGTACTAAGTAGTATACCAGTGTCTAAGGTACACTCTCAAAAAGTTTGACTTCAAAGTATAATACAATTGTAATTATTTTTTATCTCGAAAAAAAATATATATATCTTTAATCTTAATTCAGATAGATTTAAATTTTCATATATTTTATCATTATCTAGATAAATATTTGTCATTTTAGATTCATCTTTATCTAGATAAAAAAGAATTTATCCAACTCCAACACTATTTATTGGTAACCAGCTGGTTTCAATAAAAATTCACCTCCAGACCATAAAATTATAATAATTATTCGTTCGAATGATATGAACAAAAATACTTAAAAAAATATTTATTTTCTTTAACAATATTATTTATTATGATATCGGTTTTTAAGAAAACGTTTTAAATTTTTTTGCGAGCTAAATTATGTTAATTTTTATATATAATTTATACTTTGTTTACAGATGTCAAAATATTTTTATTTTGTAACCAAAAGATGGATTATTGCCAAAATCAGCAATTATCAATAAACATAAAATAATACATCCGTGTATGATGTAAATTTTTGTTTTATAATTTACTATATCAAGGTCCAAAGATACTACAATTTGAAACCGATTTATTTTGGTTTCAACCAACTGTTTCCATTGAATTTTTATTGGTAAACAACGCAAATCATGAATTGTGTTTATAAACGAATAATTATAGATGCATTCATGTCTCATAATTATTACGATTTTAAATATTTTTTTGACGTTAAAATACCGCACGTGCTCCTTGCTTTGTTGTTGATTTTAAACAATTTACGTATTCAAAACGTATCTCACGTATCATTTGAATAATTACGGTCATAATCATGGATCGCTAACTTAATTAAACTTTTTAGTTTTTATAACCAATATAATACCTGTAGTTTAGTATTTTATATTGAAACTTTATCGTCGATAATTTTATTGTTTACTAGTGTTTCGGGGAATATGAAATATTTTCATCGCATCATTATGTCTTGTTTGATGACAAGTGCCAATTTATGTACGATTGTTGTAGCATTGTAAGTTGTGGTTTCGAAATATTATTTCATTATTTTTAAGCAAAGATATAATTTGGTACGCGTTTAATTGTACTGCCAAGTTCACAAGTAACAAGTATGCAAATCGTACATATAAATGTAATTTGTTTTGTGTGTTGTGAATTGGTTATAATGGTAATAATATAATAGTTTGTGGATGGACTATTAAACTAATTGGTTTCGTGTTAATGTATTTAAGGTATACGCATGGACACGTTAATGATTAAATTTATTCAAATTGAAAAATACTACTCGGTTTTCGAGTGATCGCCACAAACTGTTCGTTATGTTAATACCACGCGATTTATAGAAAATATTTGTAAGTCTACGTTCACGGTACACAATAACACGAATCACAACAGTGCAGTTCCTCCCGTAGAGCTCACCTGCTTAAGCGAACTTCCTTTAATCAGCTTTGTCGACTCGAACGGGTCGTCTTTCAACAACGGCTCGTCCTTGATTTTCGCCGACTTAATGCCGGCCGCCAACATCAACTTGGAACCCATGATGTTCTCGGCGCTACACATTTCCGAGCTGCAACACGACAGACACGTGCAAACGTTAAACACATGGAACAAGGGATGATCGAAAACAACAGCGAAATGACAGCGATTCGCAGCTCATATTACGTTTTCGCGTCCACCGCGTGCGGCATACTTACATAGCCATTTTCCGTGTGCGGCCGATCAAACGTGACGCGTTGCACGATTATTTCAACCGATTCGCGAACAACCGTGTGCTTTCAAATAACACGTCTACCGACCATTTCATGGGCGAGTGAGAGAGAAATAAAAATAAAAATACCACCACTAAAAAACGCCCGTCGCTCCGAACAAAACCAATGTTTTCGAAATGATGAACCCGATTCCACACCGTGCGCGCGCGCGCGTGTATAGAGTCGCGTGTGTTCGAAAAAATCTGTTCCCTGCCGGAGCACCGCTGCGCGTCAGAAGCGTTCTGTGCACACTGTCGTGGTCCGACCACTGTTGCGCGCATTTAAAACTCGACTGCGGCCCGACGGCGTCGAGGTTGGTCCGCCGCCGGCCGTACCGCCGTTCCGTCGGCCGGTGGGAGGGACGCCGGCGGTCTTCCCGCGGACCACGCACGTGCTACCCGAAACGGTACTTGTTTTTCCGCGCATCTGGCCCGTCGGCCGCGGTCGCCCGTTTCGGTACACTCGGCCACCTTGTCGACGGGCTCACCGTTTTCGGTTTCACGTGCACAGACACCTCCGGGCGTGCATCTCCCTCTCTCGGCCCACAGCCGTAACTAGGATGAGGCGAGCGAGGCAATTGCCTTGGGCACCTAAAGCTGGGAGGGGGGGGGGCGCAAAAATATTAAATGTTTAACTTATTTTAAGAAATGTTATTTCTTGTTTTGTCTAGAAACCTAATTACGATTTTTTAGATTTTTCCGAATCGTATTATACACATTAAAAGCTGTGAGTGTGACAACCCGACAACCTAGGGTCTGTCTCGACCAACGTACGCGGGTACATACCGTTGAAAAATAACTTTTTCTCGTATCATTTGAACCGCAAGTCGAGTCGTACGTAACGAAGAGTCGACGTTTTAGCGAAAACAAACCATTTGTTTTTTCACATTTCTATCGTATGACGATTTGATTTTTCTTTTGTAATGTTTGCACATCAAAACGAGTACGGTACCCACAGTAATTAATGGTCTAGACACTATTAGTATTAAGAATGTGATACAGTCGAGTATAGTGTGCGAAGATACACCGCAACACGATGTTGCGATATTCCGTTCGTCTCAGAATTTACGTACCTACTTACAAAGTGTTTGACTTTCATAGTTTCATCCGTTGTTCTTAGTATGTTTACCCCCTCCACCTCCGGTACGATTGTTTTAAGCACTTACCTTAATTAATATAACAGATCGGTTAACGTTCTTGAAAATATCGACACTCTGTGTTCACTGGCCATCACCCAAGAGTACATTTTGCATATCAATATTTAATAAAGAAGTTTAGATTTACCCTAAGGAGATTTAGATAGTAATTATTCATAAATCATCGGATAACACTTGCATATAATTACCACGTTTTAATATTACCTAGAACAGAGTTGTTTGGAAAACAATGATTACTGTAATGTACGACTTAATCAATAATTTGGAAAATAGAAAGAGCATTTCGTAGTTTTCATTTATTAGAAATAGTATAAAAATTACGAAATTAATATGCAACACTCATACCGGTAATACTTAATAAATAAATCAAATTCTATGCTAATATTACGACGTAATACTATGTTAAATATTTTTAATAGCATGCAAATATGTGTAATTAAAAAAAAAATAGTTTCTAGAGAATATCGTTTATAATATAATAATTTAATTATATGTAATTACACCTACAGGATAAACGATTATTTTTTTAATATCTGCAATTAACACACATTTAAAGTACAAAAAGTCTCTCGCGTTAAATTGTGTGTTGTACACACGTTTTACGTGGTAGCCTGTAGTACAGCATTATTAGGTGCATTAAGTAAATTATGTATTATTAAGTTATTATTTTATATATAAAAAAATTTTTAAATAATAAGTATAGTTATTTATTGGAACAAATCAGATTCGGATGGCATTTTGAATTGCAAAATATCTCTCTAGATTTTCATTTACTCGCACATTTATTTTTTAAACGATTATTTTTACACAAACATTTTTTAAAACCTGGACCACCAAAAAGAAATTGTGCATTAGCTATTTTGCATAAAGATTTTTTGTAGTGATGCTTATAAAATATTTATAAAAAGTTCATTATGATTTATTTGTTTTTTTTTCACGTTTCTTATTTCAGATAATATGTTATAATATTTTAATTCCGTTAAATTTACCGAATTCTCATTCTTTTCATTAATTTATTAAAAACTAAAAATCTAAAATGTCTCTGTTTAAGAAAACAAGTTTTTTTTAAAAAACTAAATAATCAAATATTAATAAACCGAACAAGTGAACTCGAAAACCGATAGCACCATAGTGAAATTTAAAATTATTATTCAATGTCAATGCACAGGAGTTATCATAATATAAAATTTATATTTTATCGTATTCTATTAATATTATTTACAATTTATATTTTGTTGTATTTAATTTTATGAAAACACTTTGTCCACTCGATGGTAGATAATGTACAAATCATCCGGTTAATGTACCTACAAAATAAACGTTTTACAAATATGTTTACTTTATCCAATAGGTATGGGTAGTGTTAACATTACCCAGGTGTTGTATACATTATCCGGTTTTCGTACTTTAATCGAAAACATATAAAATATATACTTTCCGTATAACAATGTATGTATATATATTTATTGATTAATTATGTCGAGTAAAACTATTATTAAATAATATAATATATTTTATACACCTACAATAAATTATATAATTTGTAAATTATAATAGGTATTCATCCATAACATATATTTTTTTCTTGTTAAGTATTTTTTTTCATTGATTAAGATCAATTTAGCCCACCATGTTTTATTTAAGCATTCCCATATATCATAACAACTTTTTCAGATTCGCATTTAATTTTAAATTTCAAATTATTCAATTGTTAAATTAATTATTTGCCATTTTGGCTAAACATCGTTGAAAATTCCATGTTAAATTAAATATTAAAATGACACAGTACTTATTATATTACCTGACAAATAAGAAAATAGGTAAGTACTAACTAGTATTATCATAAGTAAAAAAAAACCTATACTAAATATATTTTTTAATCAGGGACTGGAACCGAAAAGAAAAGAATCTGTTCTGGAATCGGAACCTTGAACAATTATGAAATCCTAACTTCATAAAAAAAAATCTGAATTCAAAATTTTGAAGAACTTAAACTGAAATCGGAACCTACAGCTAAAAAGTTTTTTAACTTAAGATTCTAAAAGGTTTTTTCAGTTCTTAAGATGTATTATTTAATGATTTTTATGAATTGCACATTAAAAAAAATTTTTTAAACATTTAATATATTATTAAAAAAAATACATGATGTAATAAAAATTTAAAAATCTAAAATTTTATCAGTGCATTCTAACAGATTATTTTAGAAAATTGGTTTTAAAGATACTACAAAAAAATAATGATTTTAAAAATATAATTTTGACTATATATTCCAATTTAATTTCAACTAAAACGTAAAAAAAAAACTATCATATTTATATTTATTTTAGTGCTAGCAAAGGTCAAACATTATAGTTCGCAACTTCACATGAAAGAGTAACTTGTCAAAAACAGATTTCATACCAAAACTAAAAAAAAAAAATTATTTTGAGCAACATTTTTAAATGATAATATAACTTATATAATAACACAACAATTGTATGATTTTGTCATTGTTATGATTACCTATATAATTTTTATTTATATTTTAACTGTAATAACACTTTTGGAATTCGATTTAAAAGATAAAACCAAAAATAAAGAAGTTATATTATAATAACATTACGGGGTTTGTGATGAAAACAAAACAAAAATATTAACATTTTTAAAAAAATTTAAATTAATAGCCAAATCCTATATAATAATTGTCTATTTTGATAAATTAATATTTTTTTAATAAAAAAAAGTGTAATATTTTACATTAAAATGCATGTTATATAATTTTTTCCGTATTTAAAAAAAGTAAGAATCGACTAAAACCGTTTTTAATCAGAATCTTTATTTTATTTTATTCAATTATCGGAATCCAATCAGGAACTAGGATTGAAACCGAAACCCTTAAAATCGTAAAGGTTCCGGTCTTTGATTTAAATACACTTTGATTTACCAATTTTTATTTAATAACACGTATATGATTTAAGGCGTATGTATTATATTTATGTTTCGGTATCAGTGCGAATATTATATAATAGGTGAATAAAATAAATGGCCATAGTTTGTTTACTATATCTAATCGGTTTTGACGTAAATTTTATAATGTTAAACTTTTTTTTTGCCACAGATTGCATATAAACTCTTAAAAAAAAAGGTAAATTTGTCACAGTTTACTATTTCCCAAAATATAAACTAGCTCATAGGCTATAATATACAGTTTAATTTCAATATCAAGACTTGTTTTAAAATTTTAAACCAATTGTATCTATTTTGTTTGTTATGTATCAAGGTCTATTAGTCTTTGTTTTAATAAAACTATGTAGTATACCCATTGCGAAAATTCGCATAGATAGTTTGTTTATATAATAAAAAGTATAGGTAAATCAAATCAATGTATAAACATATTTTAACAAATCAATAAATGAGTATAATATCGAAAATTAAAAGACACATCAAAATGACTGAGTGTTTATTAACATAAATATATGTTCCGCAGCATTAGAATATACTGTGTATAAGAGGGTATAATTATTACATAAAATAATTTTACAGTGCCTCTTTCTAGACAGTATTAGCTAATATAAGTAATAATATTAATATTATTTATGAATTGTTTGCTGTTATATCACTGAGTAAGAGCCAATGAGAATGCAGTATTTGAAAAAATTGAAAGTAAAGTTGATTGTACACACATAACTTTCTTCAAACTCAATGAGTTTAAGCAGTTAATAGCTCAAAAGAAAGAGAATGATCTACTAAGTGTTCTTACGACTTGTAAGTCTACGTTAATTAGAACTCTAGTTATAGAGGTTTGAGTGAAGGAAAATATTGAAAAATCTTGAAAAAATTGAATGTAAAGTTGATTGTTCACGCATAACTTTCCTCAAACTCAACGAATTTAAGCAGTTAATAGCTCAAAAGAAATAGCTTGATCCACTGAGTGCTTCGAGAGTAAAACAATCAAGATCCATTCATTAGAAGAAGAGGTATGAGAATTCAAATGTTGCTTGAGTGAATTTATCCCATAAGAAATATATAGGGAAGAATCGCGTTGGTGGAAGTTGAGTAAATTTCAATGATTAATATCATGTCTGTTATGGCATATCTGTGTCTAAATACCTTTCATTAAAAAAAAAAAAAAAAAAAATGAAGAAAATCGGCTAGATAGAACAGCCAGAC